CCGCACAGCCCCATCCTGTGGAGCCCACTGCCGTCCCTGTTCCCACACAGCCCCCGTCCTGTGGAGCCCCCCTCACGTGACCCTGCCTCCGTCCCTGTCCCCGCATAGCCCCGTCCTGTGGAGCTCACCGCCATCCCTGTTCCCACACGGCCGGGTCCTGTGGAGCCCCCCTCACATGGCCCCGCCTCCATCCCCATCCCCCGCACAGCCCCGTCCTGTGGAGCTCACCGCCGTCCCTGTTCCCACACGGCCGGGTCCCGTGGAGCCCCCGTCACACAGACCCATCTCCATCCTTGCCCCCCATGGAGCCCCCTCACACGGCCCCGCCCGTCCCCACTCCTGCAGTTTGCAGGCTACAGTGAGGAGGTACTGGATGTCCGCTTCCTGGGGCCCGAGGACTCCCACATCATCGTGGCCTCCAACAGCCCCTGCCTGAAGGTGTTTGAGCTGCAGACGTTGGCCTGCCAGATCCTCCACGGCCATACAGGTGCGTAGTGCCCGCGAGCACGACCCGCCCGCCCCTGACCCGCTGGCTGCTGACCTCTCCCTTCCTCCCAGATATCGTCTTGGCCCTGGACGTGTTCCGGAAGGGATGGCTCTTTGCCAGTTGTGCCAAGGTGAGACACCCTGAGAGGGTGGACCCCCAGGCAGGGAGCCAGGGCAACACGGCTGCCACTGGCCTGTCTCCTCAACGCCCTCCCGTCCCCAGGACCAGACCGTTCGCATCTGGAGGATGAACAAGGCTGGCAAGGTGGCCTGTGTGGCTCAGGGCTCTGGGCACACACACAGCGTGGGCACCCTCTGCTGCTCCAGGTAGGGGGGCTGGGGTCAGGGCCGGCTGTTGGCAGGCCAAAGCCCAGGGCCGGCTGATGGAGCTGTCGCCAAAGGGCAGACAGCAGGAGGAGGCGGGACAGAACAAGGCTGGGAGAGGGCTTCTTGGCCGTGGCCTTGGGGCTGCACAGATGAACAGAGGGCATCAGTGGGGGGGGCTCACCCCACTATAGCCCTTGGCAGGGCAGGTGTACCCTGGGTGGAGGGCTGGGGTCCCACTGTTGGTCCCACTCAGGCATAGTGGCCCTGGTAGTGAGGCCTTGAAGGGCTCAGGTGTGAGCAGAGGACTCGGGGCTTTGGTCCCAGAGGCTCTGGAGGTGACGGGTCCTCTGTCCCAATCTGGCCACAGATTGAAGGAGTCCTTTCTGGTGACGGGCAGCCAGGACTGCACGGTGAAGCTGTGGCCGCTCCCCCAAGCCCTGCTGTCGAAAAGTGCCGCCCTCGACGAGAACCCCCTCCTCCTGCAGGCCCAGGTCACGCAGCACTGCCACGACAAGGTGACCACAGACACCGCTGGGTCGGGGTGGGGGGCGCAGGGGCCCTGGCCCTGCGTGGGCTGGGCTGAGAGCCAGCTGCCTGCTCCTACCCTCAGGACATCAACAGTGTGGCTATCGCCCCCAATGACAAGCTGCTGGCCACGGGCTCCCAGGACCGCACGGCCAAGCTCTGGGCCCTGCCACAGTGCCAGCTGCTGGGCGTCTTCTCAGGCCACCGTCGGGGCCTCTGGTGTGTACAGTTCTCGCCCATGGACCAGGTGCTAGCCACAGCCTCAGCCGACGGTACCATCAAGCTCTGGGCCCTGCAGGACTTCAGCTGCCTCAAGGTGAGCCCCCCCGCCCCCCCAACCTGACCCCCCCACCCGACAGCACCCCTCACCCCACCCCTCCCCCACAGACCTTTGAGGGGCACGACACCTCGGTGCTGAAGGTGGCCTTTGTGAGCCGGGGCACCCAGCTGCTGTCCAGGTAGGGGGCCGGGGCTGGGCAGAGTGGGCCAGGAGGGTCGGGTTCGGCACTAAGCCCCCGAGACCTTCACCGCTCCCTGCTCCCCCCAGCGGCTCTGACGGGCTTTTAAAGCTCTGGACCATCAAGAACAACGAGTGCACGCGGACGCTGGACGCCCACGAGGACAAGGTCTGGGGGCTGCACTGCAGCCGGCTGGACGACCGAGCCCTCAGCGGTGGCAGTGACTCCCGGGTCATCCTCTGGAGGGTGCGGGGGAGGGGAGGGGGAGGGAGGGGAGGGTGGCAGTGCCGTGCTGTGGGGGGGGTGCGGAGGGCGGCGGTGCCGTGGCGTGGCCGGGAGGGGAGGAGACGGGAGGGGAGGAGACGGGAGGGGAGGGGAGGGAGGTGGTGCCGTGCTGGGCCCGGGGTGACCCCCGTGTGACTCCAGGACGTGACAGAAGAGGAGCAGGTGGAGGAGCAGGCCAAGCGGGAGGAGCAGGTGGTCAGGTCAGTCTGCACCCGGCCCAGTGCCTGGGTTGGGGTCCTGGCATCCCCCTGCTTTGTGGTGCTGGGAGAGGGGCTCAGAGGGGACACAGCCTGCCCTGGTCCCCAGGGTCCCACCTTGTCTCCTCCCACAGGCAGCAGGAATTGGCCAACCTGCTTCATGAGCGACAGTACCTGCGGGCACTGGGCCTGGCCATCTCCCTGGACCGGCCCCACACAGTGCTGACCGTCATCCAAGGTCAGTGCCACCCCCAGGGATGGGCAGGGCAGGAGGTCTCGGGTCCAGTGCACCCCCTTCCAGAGGCTCAGTTTCCCTCCTCCACAGCCATCCGCCGGGACCCCGAGGCCTGCGAGAAGCTGGAAGCCACGGTGCTCCGACTGCGGCGAGACCAGAAAGGTCAGCGGTCCCGCGGGCAGGGGCCAGTCCGGGTGAGGGTGGCCCGGCAGCGGGCTGACGTCCCCGTCTCCCACAGAGGCCCTGCTGCGTTTCTGCGTCACCTGGAACACCCACTCGCGGCACTGCCACGCGGCTCAGGCCGTGCTGCTGGTGCTGCTCCGGCACGAGTCCCCCGAGGAGCTGCTGGCCTACGAGGGTGTCCGGGCCGCCCTGGAGGCCCTGCTGCCCTACACTGGTGTGTGGTCCTGCCCGGGGCGGGGGGCAGGTGCTGCACCCCGAGGGCCAACTGACCAGTGTCTGTCTCCCCCTCCCCCACGCCCAGAACGGCACTTCCAGAGGCTCAGCCGGACTCTGCAAGCGGCCAGCTTCCTGGACTTCCTGTGGCACAACATGAAACTGTCCCCGCTCCCTGCCACCTCCCCTGCCCTCTGACACACGCATAAAGGTGTACTTTCTATTCTGTGTCCAGTGTCCTGGGCAGCACTGCCATTCCCGGTCCCTGGCCACAGCCTGTCAGCTCCCACACACCCTGGCTTTGGCCCAGCCATCCCCTGGCGCAGTGAGACTTCATCTCGGGGTTGACGGAGAACAGCTTTACTCAGAGATGATGTAGCTGCAAGGCGGGCCGCCTCACCTTGCTCCTGGGAGGCACCGCGCGGTCAACGCCCCAGTAAGCCCTTGGGGTGGGATCTCCTGCTCTTTTTCAAGCAAGGCTGCCATCCTCCTCTGAGCTGCGCGGGCCGGATCCCAGGCACTTCCGCAGCATGGCCTAGGGCCGCTGCCCTCTTCGCCCAGCTACAAGCGCCAGCCCTCCACCGGGTTCCGCACACCTTCCAGCAGCCCCCTTGGTACTGCGCCAGTGCCCCGTGGGTGACGGTGCTGCAGCGACTCAACAGCGCTCCGCGGGGGCCGGGCGGGCACCGGTGGGGGCCGGGCCGGGAGCGGTTCGGGGGTGTGGCCTGCGCCGTCTTCCCCGCCGACAGCCCCGCCCACGAGCGCGCCCAGCCAGTCGGGCTGCAGCACCAGCGCTGGCAGGAGGCCGGCTCGGCCGCCATACCTGTCAGGAGAGGCGGGGTTCGCTTAGCGCTCGGCTCCGCCCCCGCCCAGTTTGGCCGAGCCTGAGTCGTGCTCGCGCACCTGCACATCCACCAGCCGCGATCTGAGGTCTCCAACACGCGCACGCGCGCTCCCGCGGGCACAGATAGCTCCTGCGCGCCGCAGCCCTCGTAGGCGCGGGAAGCACAGTACTGCAGCCCTAGGGGTCGCAATGGGAGTATAACCGCTCTCAGGTCTTGTCTCTGGCCTGCAGGCCGCCCAGCCCCCAGCCTCCTCCCCTGGCTTGGGTGCCTCCTCTGCCGCAGCAGAGCTGGTGGGCTTTGGGGGACGCGCGTACCGCTGCTCCCCAGCGGCAGGCCTCCGTCCTGGCCTGGGGCCGCCACTTCCAGGTAGGGAGCCGGAAACCAGGCCGTCTGCTGCTCCTCGTTTTCCACCAGCCACCAGCCTGCGCGCAGGAGGGGGAGAGGTTGGGGCTGCGGGGATCCCGGGCAGAGCGAGACGCAGACCCTGCCCAGCCCCACCTGAGGGGTGTCGTAGCAACACGTCCAGGGCCGCCTGGGCCCGCACGTGGAAGGGTCGGCCCTGCGTGTCCTGGGTGCTGTAGGGTTGCAGGCAGTGAAGTCTCTGGGTCTCCAGTCTGCGGATGTTGAGGCTGCCGGTGGGGCCGGGCAGAGGCTCCTCAGGGACCGGCAGGATCACCCGGCTGCGGGGGGCCACAGGCGACAGGTGGGAGTGGACCCGCCTCTCCCCACTTCCCACACATCCGGGCAGCCTCTCCGTCTTTGCTCTGCGTGAGCCCCTCTTCCTGCGACCCGCGCCTCCCCGTCCTCCAAGTACCGACGTGGCTGGGAGTTGGAGGGTTTAGACACCTGCCGGGTGGCAGCGCGGGCTCCAGGTCCAGGGGTTGCGGTGCGAAAAAGCCAGTGAGCGCTGGGCTGCGGGACACGCGCTCCGCGGCCGTCAGCAGCGTCTGGGCATAGACTTCCAGGAGCCGCAGGCGCGCCAGCCCGCGGCCCGTGCGCCCCCCGCGCGCCAAGAGCGGCACGTCTGCGGGCACGACAGCGCTGGGCCTTAGGACCACGTCCCCGGCTCCCCCACTCCCGCCCCGGGCTCCGCCACCCAGCCTGACCTGGAAGCTTGGGGAGAACGCAATCCGCTCTGCGCAGCACGCCAGCCTCCACGGGGAAATTCTCCTGAAGGGTCTTCTGTGGCGAGAAACAGGGCGGGTGGGTCTCCATGAATGAGCTCACGCGTTCCCCCCCCCCCCACGCGGGCCCAAGCCCGGGCTGTAAGGGTTGGAAACTGCGAGGCACGAGGGCAGCCCGCGGGAAAGGGTCACTTGGGACTTATGAGCTGGAGGCCGGTCAGGGACTGGGGTCATCCCAGAGTCACTCACCTGAAGTTTCCTGAACTCATCGTGACTCCTGCGGACAAAAGTGTCGCCGCCTTCTGACCAGCGCACGGAGAAGACGAAGGTCTGTGGGAGGTTGGGGGGGGGTGTCTGCAGGAGCTAGGCAATGCGCCTTCCCCTTGGGGACCACCGGGGGGACCCCATCGAGTACCTGGAGCCTTCCGGTCTGCACCAGGGCCACGGCGCGCACCGACAGCGGGTGCCGCGGACTTGCCATGGGCGTTGCCTGCCGCTCCAGCCCCTCCCTGCCCGCCTGGCGGGCGCCCTTGACACTGGCAGAAGTCACGTTTGAGGCCCTGAGCGAGCGGGGCTCGTCCTCTGTGGAGCTGCTCTACCCGTGGGACTTCTTGGGGGCAGGAACACAGGGCTGGGAGGGCTAAGGCAGAGCCAGGTGGGAGGGGGAGCTAGCTGCGGGCCAGAAAGGGGCGGGGGGTGGGGCAGACTGTGCCTGGGGCCGTGCAGCCCTAACGCGGCGGGGCGGGGGGGGGGGGAGGAGACAGAACGGTGGGCAGGCTTTCATCCAGGCGCCCTCTAGCCCAAGCACCCTTTGCTAGGCCCAGGGCGGCTGCCTGCCGCCAGACCCCTAGGCTGTCTGTGGGACTGTCTAAAATTGCTCCAGGGACCATCCCATCCAATGCTAGGGACTTTAATGTCTCTTGTAAGCCTAAGGATAGTTCTCTTAATGTCCCAAGACACAAAGGGAGAGATTTGTGCTGAATGGACAATTAATTAAAGTTTTTCGGTCCATGTGCACTTGGGGGGGGGGTGTGGAGCCCCACAAGCTCACCCAAGTTCACCCTCTGGTGGGAAGACTTGAGCCAGAAGGAAGAGGGGAGGGGCAGCCAGCCAGTTCTGGGACCTGATGGATTTGTTACAATTGGCTGTGATGGACAAGACAGCCTCATCCTTAGCCTTTGAGAGTTGTTGTTATGTGCTGCGACCCCTCCTTGGTTTCCGAGGTGGTATCACTACAGAAGTATATTGCCCAACCTTCCCTTCCGAGGAGTGGCTGGTGGGTTTGAACCTCCAGCCCTCTGGTTAGCAGTCAAGTGCCTTAGGTACTACGCTACCAGAGCTCCTGCCTTGGAGAATAGAGGTGGTCATTCCCCATTCCAGCCTGCGCAGTGAGCTGGGAGGCCTGGAAGCCCTGCACAGAGGCCCGCCTGGAGGCCCACTTCTAATAGGGGAGGTGCTCACTTCCTTATAACTTCTGGAGCCCCAGCAGACCACAGGAAGAGCACAGTGATTCTTTCTGGCCTGGGGGCCCCCTCTGTGTCAAGACCCCCTCCCCCAGGCCCTCCAGGGAAGGGTCGGCCTCTGGGTCATCCCCCTGGCACCTTGCCCTGGCCTCATCAAAGGGCCTTTGTGTGAACGGGAGCCTATCTGGCCAGGGCCCTCTCCAGAGCCCTCCAGCCTGCCCTGGTCTCCACCCAGGTGCTGAACACTGCTGACACAGCTAGGAATTGAGGCCTGCTCTCAGCCCAGCTGTCTTTCTCCACCCCCCCCGGGGCCATGCTCAGACCCACAGCCTGTCCCCCTGGAACAGAGGGAGAAGCCAGGAAAAGTGCGCACTCGTTTAAACCCAGCAAGCTGGAGAGTCGCTGAAACCCTGTGCTGAACACAGTGGTGTACAGTCTCTGCTCCCGGCCCCGGCCAAGCCTGAATCCAACCCCACTGCCTTCCTCTCAACCCCCACGACCAACCTTGCCCTAAGAAGCCCTCTCCCCATGTGACAGCCCTATGGAACTCTGCAAAAAGAAACCAGACCATGTCCACCAGCCCCTTCCCTAAATCGTCCCGTGTCTTCCCACCACCCTCAAAATAAATCCCCAGCTCCCACAGAAACTGACAAGGCCCTGTGTCATAGGCCGTGACCACCATGGACCTCCCCTCCGGTTACTGTCACCAACATCCTGCCACCTAGGGCCCTGGGCCTTGACTGTCCTCAGCACATTCGTCACCCTTCAGACTTGTCCTGCACGGTCACCTCCTCAGGCATGTTTCCCGGATTTACCAACCCGCCCATGCCTCCACCCACCGTTTGTAAGGGAGTATTTATTTGTGTGTTTCTGTGTAACTACGAGCTGAGGACATCAGGGGTAGAGTCTAGTTCCGGGTATGCCCAACGCCTGCAGCGATGCTTGGAAGAGTCAGTCGGCACCAACTTCTGTGGAATGAATGAATGACCCTATGGAAGCCGAGGTATCCCTGACTCTTCTCCGAAGCGGATTTAAACCCTTATCCAGGTTGTAGGGTCCGAGCAGGCCCTGGCCTCGCTGGCCCATGGACGCACAAGCAGCCGAGGCACGCGCCGCCCGGCTGTTTCAGGCGCCCGTTCCCGTGGCGCGGGGCGCAGGGCTGCACCGCGGGACCAGAGCCCGGGCGCGGGCGCGCGCGCGCATCTGTGCGGTCACAGCCCCGCCCCGCGTTGCCATGCGCCCGTTGCCATGGTGCAGGGGCAGCCGGCCGCTGGGGGCGCCGCCCCGCTGAGGAACCGCACAGAGCCCCCTGGGCCCTCAGGGTGGTCAGAGAACAGCGATGGGGGCTTCGCGGGCTCCCACCCGGAATTCGCCTGCCCCTCA